ACCATACCATTCAATCGACTGCACGCACAAACCATCAGCCACTGATATCCTATTCACAGAAATGAATAGTTGGTTAGACGGCACTGTGTGTCCATGTCAAAAACGACCACCGAGTTATTCTTCTTTAACTGGCAACCAGCCTCAATTCAGCGATGGTCGTTTCCAGCATAGATAATTATATATGTTTCCAGTGGTTGCTACAGCCCTTTTACAGCCTTCTTAAGTAACATCAACTTAAAAAAGTACCAGAAAATCTTCTATATCAACAGCCAATCGAAAAAGATAATAGCCGATTTTCGGGCAAAAGGTTTGAAAAAATACAGTAGGCCCATGACTGGAGGCAGACTTCAGAGGACGGAGATCTCAAATTCATCTTTATTACGATATCCAGTGGCAACATTAGCCACGCCCGGCCTCTCTCACCATTAGACTCATATTTAAAATGACAAACAGCGTCGTCGGGACAAATAGGGAGGGGGTCATTCATTCAGTACTCGTCAGTGCCGTCGGAATGAAATTCATATAAGGGGGCTGCACATTGTATCGCTTCCCATTCAGAACACTGTTATAAAGGAAGTATACTATAGTTTGAAAATAACTGGAGGCGTTCTTTAATAGTTTAAATGTCTTACTAACTATTTAAACGCCCACAAAACTAACTACCGCGATACTTTTACTCCGCGACTTTTTCACCCTTAAAGTCAGCACTACTTGCCCGAGAGCTAATTCTGAAAACCCAGTCAAATCATTCCCAAACATTGACCCAGGAATAAACGACGGGACAAGAATAAACGCTTAGCAGCCCACGCAGTCACATCTCTCTTCTTATCCTAATGGAATGTATTCTTTTCCTATATATAATTCAACTTTTACCACGGGGTCGGAACTGACTCTCCACCGCCCTCACATAAGGTACACAACTGGGGGCTGTAAAGAGATAACGCTCTCCCCTGTTCCCCTTTTATCTATAGTCCTTTTTGCAGGTGCATTGCAGAAAGGAGGAGCTGACATCTGAAATCTCTCCCTCCCCCTGTTTTTCCTTTTAAAATAAAATAAAATACAGACATGGATAGAAATACATATTTGAGAGGTCTCCAAACATTTATATAGGTGTAGAAGAACTGTCCTCTTAATAAGAATCCTATTAATTAATGGCTTTTTCATTGAATGGGGGACCTTCAATTTTATCTTATCAACCTTTACCCTACCTCCCATTAAACGGCATTAACCTAGTCAGTATTTTCAAGAAATGCCAACATTTCCGATATTTATCCTTAGACAAAATGTAATACTTTCTTATCCCTTTGCAGTGACGCCTCGGGTATTAGTTCTTGTTTGCTGCTTTGTAAACCACAGAGTGGTAAAACAAATCCATAACATTTTATAAAAATTAATCTCTTTTCATTCCCTTTAGGACTTTTTCTACTGGGTTTTAGAATTAAAGCTTTCCGCTCTTGTTCTTTTTCATTGGCTATTGGCTGCCAGTGATCCATGGTGAATGTATCTGCTCAGCTAGCACAAAGAAAGACTGGAGGGAAGGGAAAATGGAGTTTGAAGAATAGGGAACGTTTATTGTTAATGTCTTCAGAATGTTTTAAGTAGTGTGTAATCCGAATCGATATTGGGAGCATAGTTTCACAAAGGTTTGATACCAACATAAAATATTTTGACTATAAATCTTTTTGAAATCACTCCAATACTGAAGAACGTCCGAGTGTTTTTCCGTTCGAAACCTGGCGGAGTACTGGATTGGTTTCGCGGTCTGTCATCAAAGAGAGGAAGTTGGTGCCTCATCATGGGCTAGAGGCTCTTGGAATCGAGGGCAACTAAAATTAGCCACTCAGACTCAAAGCAGAAAAACGTCGTATTCCACGCCAATCTGATTGATACTTAGGATAAAAAGATACAGAGATGTTTCCAAAACAAGCAGTGCTCCCGGGTAGGGCATTATTGTGCTTGGCATGGTGCTTTGATTCAAGCATTAGAGAACTAAATCAAAACAAAGCAGCCGTTCTTTTGACGATAAGAAATCCTTTGCACTTGAGTTACATTGAAAGTCTGTTAAACGGATTTGAAATCTCGAAAAAGAACTAGCAGCAAACCACAGATTACCTTAACTCGAGCTTTTATTTATAAGCAGTCACAACTTAAAATGAAAACATTACACTTGCCTATAAAGACAATATTGAAAATTTGATTCAAAACGCGGATACAGCAAAATAATCTGGAACAGAAAGCACGAATGTAAACAAACCTAGCCAAGTAGCTAAGCCAAAACGACATAAACCAAATAGCTACAAGCGTCTGCCAGGATACGCTTAATTGCCCAATTACAGTTATAATGACAATTGGCCACCCATGTCCTGAAACGTTCATTAAAAGCTCTGACCAAACGATTCTGGAGAATATCGCGACTTAAAGTCTTTAAGATAGGAGAAGAAAAAATTTATTAAGAATTTTAAGCTGTATTGTGTTCTAGGCACAGGCGTAAAAATTGGGGGCAGTGACCGAGAGTGGGGGGTCCAACCCTTAAACAGATCGACAAAAAGGTCATCCATACACTGTCAATAGACCACTTTTGTCTTACATATGCCTAAGGAACTGGTTTTAATTCGAATTCAACCTGACGTTCAGTTTTGTGAGTTCGCAAAAAAGGCATTCCGGACAAGACAAGACATTTTTGAGGGAAGCAAACAACAAATAAAAGGCAGGAGCCAGCTTTACTGCATAAAACTTGCAGGAAATTAAATCTCTAAACATCGTATATTATTGCTATTTTCAATACTTATAATGTTAACAATAAATCTCAATACAATATGCGATAAGTATTAAAGAAGTACAAATTCATCTTAATTAAAATTCATTGTGTCCAACATTGGAAATTCGTGAAACCATAAGATAAACAAAACTCGTTTCTTGCTAGAAGTTAACACCAACAAATATCGTTGCAAATTTCAAGGGTAATAGAGAAACATTGGGGCAAACATAACAGGGTAGCACGGTGGCTACTAAGTAAAGAATCAATGCACAAAGTTTACAAGCACGGCGGCTTAAAAATAGACAGCAAATGAAGTGCTTATCAAGAGATTGAACAAAATGGTGGCGTTATTTCTAGTAAGAAACGAGATTTTCGATAGCAACATCGATGATTAAGAACGCTGACGGAACGGCGATTCTCTGGCCTATGCAACAAAAGAAGACTAGAAGTTATGTTCAGACCACGTGCAGGGGAGGTGGATCGAGGCATTTCTGCCGCGGGGTCGACAACGAAATAGAGTTTGTAATCGCTTTATTGTGGAGAACAAAGAAGACATTGATGTTTGACCTTGCAAATGGCAAATGAGATAAAACAGGATTTTGTGACTATGTTTTCAACCCAACTTCGCATCCGGCAGAATCTGACACCGAAATTACCATTGTTCGTCAGCTAAAAGCCAAAAGTAATCTTGTAAACGTTTATGCTCAGGTGGAGACATGAATGAAGGTGCGTGCAAGAAGGAAGTGAGAAACAACGTGCAATGATATTCTATTTTGCAGCAAAGTTGCAAGAATCACCGTCTTTCAGCTTACATACATTAACAATGAGACATAACGGCTTATTCGTATATCAATAATACAAGATACTTTCATTTGGGCAAGACAACATATTTCATGCTATACCTCGCCAGAATTGAAGAAAAATCTAATTGAAAAGTCTACTACTACTTGATTTATAAAGAAAACGTTGACTGAGCGGACATCCTCATTTTTCCTTGTTTCGCATGTTTTGGCGGAAAACCCCCGCACTGCCACTTTGTTCCCGCCTTAACGCTTCAGATGACGATCTCAAATCAATGAAATGAAAGAGCAGGCCGGGCTTAAGTTATAGTAAATCAAACATATTTCCTAAGCGCGCTATCAAAATGGGTAATAAAGGGCGGCTTTGTATAGATAAGGAACAGGGGAAGCGGCTTTTGCTTATTGCATCGGAGAAAGAATTGTAAACATCTTTCAGTGTTGAATTCATACACAATCTAATTCTGCAATTGAATCTTTTAAACCGCAGATCCAGGAGCTTTCGAGACGGGAAGCTGACATAGTGGCATCATATTTCGTTGAACAAACGTCAATTACCTTCTGTTGGCACACAAAGAATTGATCATTATTCCTTGAAGGGGTGTGTTGGAATTTCTCAAACCAAAGACATTTACCACTTGTAGACAAACAATATATCTGCAAATATTTCTCACGAAATGGTAAACCGTCGGAAGCTTCAGCATGGTCTTCAGAGGTGGGGAAGTGGGTATTTTTATTTTGGCTAAAATAGTCAACATGGTTTAGTGGCCAACGTATTTGATAAAACCGCTCTAATTTTCAAATGAAATTGTCTAACCGCTTCCAAAAACTCTTTATGGAATAAACAATTAGTCGCCCACCCTCCCTAATCTGGGGTGCTGTAAAGGTGGAGTAAACAGGAAGAAGTGGAATTTAATTCAGTTCTTACTAACGCGAGCTGTACGCGATGTGTGGAGGGCGGCTTTGAGACAGGGCAACGCACCAGAGACGATTTTACAGGCTTGCATGTATTATGAATAGTTAAATTGAATCGCGTTCCTTTGGCAACCGATTTCATGCAATTGAGCATACAGGAGTGTATCATACCTGCCATCCTGTCTCAAACATACTTTTTATCAAATTAAAATTAATGACAAACAACATTTTGCGGGGAAAACGCTTGATTTAAATCCCAGGGAATCTAGGCCCCAATTTGGGATTATTACTATTTTCTGTGATTAAATAACCCTGAAAATTAAGCTATAAACTTTAAAAAGAAATGTCAAATTTGTACATCCAATAACAAAACACGAACCATTTCGTACTTTAAATATCATTGTTAAGAATCTGAGCATTTTGGCTGCAGTTCAATTCATTGTTCTATATTTCAATATTTAACTCATAGAATTTAGCAACTAAATTTAATATTCGCTCTAATAAATACGAAAAATTTTCATGACATATATCTAAATTGGCAGAATTTTGTCCTTCGGTTTCGGGGTATATTTTGGACAATATTTTATTGTATGTGACTTATCCCCGCACGCTTTACACAAGGGACATGTGTAGGCTCTCAGAATAGGGCATGAGGTATTTCCTTCCGCATCTTTCAGGGTATGGCCTGTATAGAATTCTTTACTTTCGCCGTTATTTCTACAGAACACACATACTTGCCGTTGGCTGACCCTCTGCTTTTCGTTAGCAACCATATTTGCAGTCGTCTTTCCCACCTTTGTTAGTTTGCCCCCAATTCGGTTGGAAAACAACTCCGATCTTGACAAAGAATCTCCGATGATGGACGGCTTAAACGGTCGGAATTCCTGTGAATTTATTGAATCGAAAATCATGCTAATATCTCCATCACCACGACTTCCTAACGAATTTTCACTTTTGTCTGAGTCGAGACTGTCCAGTCTTTTTCGGGAAGAAATTTTCACGCAATCGCTTGCATCAAAGTAGTGGTCGTTGGGGCTGCTTGGGCTAAGGGTTTGAAAAGGTGGTGTGTCGCTGACTGAGCCATAACCTTCAGGTTGCACTAAATTGATTAATCCCAAGTAATCTCGGAAAACGCGAAATTCATTTTTAATCTGCATGTTCTCCTTGTCTTCCCCATCCACGTGTTTGGGGGCCAGCATAAAATCAGTTGTATACAATGTTTCCAACATTTGGTCACCCATCATTTGGCAGAAATATCCTGTCAATGACAGTAAACTATTGCTTTTCCTCCTGACCAACTACTTGCCACAATGGATCGATACAAAACTTGTTGTTTTCTCAGAATTACATTCAAAACAATTTCATTCATGAAATTTCATCCAAAGTATTTCCTCTACAAATCTTCCATTTAAAACCTCCTTTGATTCACAACAATTCATCGACAATACTGATATAAACCCTGGTAGCGAGAATGTCTGTCCACTAGCATTGCGTATCTTCAATTGGCTTTCAAGACCAAGGGCAGCAGTCTGTGAAGTTGAGTGCTGCAACAAGCAGATGGCACTGTGAACGAATCGTTATTTATTGCACAGAGTGGCGCGCATTTTGACAATAGTACTCGCCTACGTAATTGTTATGCCGACATGTGGTTGCTGTATTCTTATGCTAATTTGATTGACCGATCATAAATCGATGTGCTCATCATGATGACATCGTTCTCAAGTTTTCCATGAAATGTCATAGCTTTCAAAGAGTAAGCAGATGTTTTTCAGCATGTTGTTGCTTTTGCGTACTCTTTTGTACAAAACTGCAAAAAGCTAGCAATTTATTTTTTCGACCGCTCTCAAAACACTGCCATTTCGAGACATCTGTGAGTGCATTTCAGGCCTAATATACGAGGCCGGATTGGTTTTTAATTCGTATAGGGGTTTCAGTAAAACAATGCTAAGGCAATCCGAAGCGCTTCGGATTGCCATTTGCCAAACCGGATTAAAGTCACTCCGCTTTTGAGGTGAAGTGAAAAACAATCCGAAGTACTCCGCCCTTTATCCCGTGTAAGCGCTCAATCAGAAGTGACTTTAACTTTGCATCTTCTACCTCTCATCTTGTTCAAAAAGTGTGCACATTTTACAGAGAGTAGTTGCACTACATTCTACTTTCAAGGGCCGCTGCTAGGCGGGGCGGGCCGGGCCCCGGGGCAAAAGGAATGACGGGTCCTCAATTTACGCTAAAGGCACACAATTTATTTTGGGCCAATCCCCGTTTTAGTTTTTGGAAACCCCCTTGCATTGAAATCAAAGAGAAGATAAGAGTGGAGATGCGAAGGAACGCCTTTCTTAGAAGAAGGACAAGTATAAAAAACAACACAGACTTAGTACAAAATACTTTGATATTTAATTTCGGGGCTTTTTGGGCCCTTACGAGAGAAAGCCTTACCATGAATGATGCATTCATTATAGTTGAAAAGAAAAAAACACCTTCATTAAATTTTTGGACATTTGTTTTTTACCATCCCTGTTTTTAATATTTGCCCAATGGTGTGATTTCAAGAGAGTTTTTCTGCCAGAGCACAAAAAAATTTATTGTCTGCCCTGAGCGGGGCAATCCGGTGTCGTGTAATAGGATCGTGTAATTGTTTCAAGATTGAATTTTCTCACAACAAAGATTTCCCCTCCAGGCCGCTGAACTGCGTCAAATCATATTTATTAAAGAAAAAGCTTTTTGAAAAAAATTAATTAAAGGAACGTAAAAATAATCTAAAAACCATCACGTTAAAAACATCGAAAATTGTGCCTAAAAGTTCTGTGCGAAATAAAGTGTGGTTTCGAATCGTTGGTCAACAATGAATATGTTATATTTATTCAAAAGGCAACAAAGCCCAGAATAAAATAAAAGTCGGAGATTTAGTGGAGATAAAAAAAGACAGAATTAACTGGGGACGAACACAGGGCCGCACCAAATGGGAAGTATACTGTTAATCAATCAAACAAATGGGGTTTTCGACTGTTTTGTGCAAGCCCACGTTTTGCCCATGCAGCAACGTCAATGTGCTTTATTTCATTGCGGATTGAGGTTTTTTGGCGGATTTTTGCACGGTTTGCGGCTTTAAGAACTCCTAAAATAACCCCCCGCAATGGGGAATAATCAACCCTTTGAAATTCAACAAAGTAGGGCCTCTGAAAAACATGTAGTAAACATAGGGTGCCTGAAAAACCAAAGGGTGAGGGAAGGGGCTACAAGACAAGGTCGTTTGATTCACAGCTTCTAATAATTTATTCGTAACTGATGATTTATTTTGAATTACTGTGGCACCTTGAAATCATCTGGCTAACTTCTGGTACATTGAAGCGGTGCTTTTTGATTAGCATGATTATAAAAATAGGAAAATCTATGGATATCAAATCCAATGTACTGTCATGAAAAGGGCTTTTTCACCCCTTCACTTCCTTTAAGGCCAACAGGAGGCTTTCCTTCGCGTCAAGGACCGCGAAGCATATTACAGATGGAGGCCGGAGGGGGCCATAACGTTTTTTGGGAGGGCTAAATATGTCTAAAACCAACACGCAAAGCAATTTTCGTATTGTTTTCACAGGCATCGCGGAGAAGGGGGGCTTGGATTTATTCGATTTTAGCCACCTCCACTTTTAGACCCCCATTTTTTGAGGCCCCTTAGCCCCCCGCTTCCGCGGTCCCTGCTTCGCGTTCGTTTTTGTTGACAGGGGTCCCTGATCACAAGTTGATGATTGAAATAAACAGGTCTCCTTGAGAACTTAGCAATCTCTGTCAAGATTTCCTTCAATACAATAAGGGTGTTTGTTCTCAATTTCGGAGGGCAGAGGCCACCCTTAAAAACCGCCTTTTTCAAACCAATTTACGGCTGGTTTAATTGCTTTCCCACGGTTTGATGGTTAAACACATGTATCAGAACGCCACCTGATGTATGACATCCAAGCGATCGCAAGGCGGAAATATAGGGCTTGGCAGTAGCATTACGTCCAATCTCATTTGTGTGTTTACCACTTTTGGTTAACTTACATATTTATGTAATTACATTCTGTGCAGCCTTTTCAGTAAGGTGGTAAATGTAGGTATGTAAACTGAGAAATTCAACAATCATACCAGGAAGCTTAGTTTTAGCAGGAAAAAGTCAACCAAGGACTTCATTATTCTATTATTAGCCCCAACTTCTTTTTTTGTTTTGTTTCCTGCCAAAATTTTCAGCGATGAAGCAATAAAAATTAGAGAAGACGAATGTGGCTGGATTGTTCTTAATTTGTTCTTAATTTGTTCTTAATTTATGACCAATTTTGAGGCTAGTGTTGTTAAATAATTGTTCTTATAAAAAAGGAGTGTATTCTGCATTAAAAGACACATCGAAACTGAGAACAGACAAGGAAATACTAGAGCTAGTTTTAGACTCACTGAGCAATGAACTGAATAGGATAGGTATCTATCGATTTTCGCACATGTAACCCTAATTCCCGCCCCACCCCATTCCACTTATTCTACTATTTACGATTAAACCAATCACTGCTAAATCCAGCCCCCTACATATGGCAACCCCTGATTATTTATTTCTTTTCTGCCCAAAGGACTCTTCTATCTCCTCTTTACAAGATATTTGAGATTACGTAAAATACACTCTTTTTTTATAAGTGCAATTATTTAAGAACTCGAGCATCAAAATTGGTCAAAAGTTAAGAACAAATTAAGAACAAGCTGAGGATGAGCTACTGTAAAATGCAATTTAGAACAACGTTTCATCTCAAAAGTGAGGATTTTTAGCAATGTGTGGGTGCTTTTTCGGTAAATATTCAAATTTGTCAGCAAATTAAGGCTGTCTTACTCACTTTGTTGGCAAATGAGGCCTGTACACCACCCTAGAGCGAAAAAGGTAGCACTCGCACCGCTTATACCCTATTAGATTAAGAAACAAATTAAGAACAATCCAGCCTCGGACTTTCCGAAAATTTAAGAACAATCAACCTGAATTAAATTTACTGGTTCTTATATAAAAAAGAGTGTTCAGGATAACTTTAAGCCTAACAATAAATAAATTGATTTGAATGAAACCGGTACTCTTGGGAACAGAGAGATGAACACATTATGGGTTGTTTGTATTTAGGCCGTTAGAGGAATTGGTGGAATTTCATTGGGAGCCCGGTGATGACTCCTTTGCTTTCAGTTTCCAAAGTTTTAGCAAAATATCGGGGAGTGCATTGCGCCGCTTTTGCTTACTGTTTGGCAAATCCTATTCTGCCTTAGCGGATGTGGTATACACCTCCTTTTCCTACCACGAGAGGCATCTGCTGCGCAAGCTTGAAACAAAGGACGGGACGTGTTCTATAAAATTAATTCATTTTGTGACGTCAGCTGAGAAAGTAATACTCCAGACCGTTTGGATGGGCCACGGTTTATTTTTATCACTTTCAGAAATTTTTAGAGAGGTTAACTTATTTAAAGCTTTTTGAAAGTACCGGTCAAAGTCGATTTCCAACCATTACAGCTATTTCTGAAATGTGCTGAGCTCAAAAGGTCGTACAATTGCCTGAAGATTTCTAAAAAAGGAAACATAAAGCAAACTGGGGAAATTGATCAATTTTATTTGCTATTTTTCTCAAAAGCCTTCCAAAATAATAACTGAATCTATTTTTAATCACGGGGTAGGCAAGAGCAGGATTCATGTTCCGTTCATTCCGTAGGCCAATTCATATAGAAGACACTTCGTTTTCGTACTTTTTAGAATCTACGCAATAACCAACCGAATTACACAACTGTCTGCTTAAAAAGCAAGTTTGAGCATACATTTGTATGAGTCATAATAATAATAATAATAATAATAATAATAATAATAATAATAATAATAATAATAATAATAATAATAAAAATAACGAGAAAGGTTCTCTCTATCTATTCTTTATAAGAAACAAAGATCGATGTTGAGTACTCCAGTTTCTTAATGTTCTGGAAATTTCAATATTTATTGTCATGAATGATGTTATGAAATTTTTGTGACCTTTTTTCAAGTCAAGAGATTCGCTTCCGTCCTGACGCTGTATCTAGATGTAGGAAGTATATTTTTATCCATTGTGTCTTAATTTCTAGGCCATCAGGGCAATCATGTTCTTGGATTTTACAAAATTTCGTTGTTTTCAGTTTAATGACGACTAAATGTTTCTTAATTTTTTGCTTCGAGCATTGAAGTTTCTTAATTTATTCTGACTGTCCAGTACGCGTTTCT